TCTCTCTCTCTCTCTCTCTCTCTCTCTCTCTCTCTCTCTCTCTCTCTCCTCCTCTCTCTCTCTCTCTCTCTCTGTCCCTCTCTCTCACCCTCTACCTCTGCCCTTCTCTCACACCCTCTATCTCTATCTCTCTCCGCGTGTTCTCTTCGCGTCCTATTAATACATTACTTATTAATGATTGCTCTTCAGAGCTAGACCAAGTATTCGACACCTGATGCTTGCAGAGCGCTTAAACCCATGTTTGCACACACTCTCTCATCGACCGAGCATCACGTAACACCAGGAACGGCCCTAGAAAACACCGAATGCCTACCACATACAGCACTGTGTCAGTACAATATTGTAATTTGATAAAAGCCCGATTTGGGAGCGGCGGCAGATATTCCATCAGGGAAATGTCGCGTGAGGTTAGCGATATCAATTTCACATTCCTTCGTCACCGCGTACAGGGACTGCCAATTGCTAGCAACAACTACATATATTGTTGAGAGAGCGGCAGAAGAGGGAAGGAAGGACAATTAGACAGACCGACAGACAGCCAGGTAAACAGAGAGACAGTCAGACAGACATACAGTAGTGCCTAGTAAGCGTAAAGGCAATACGTGATAAGTGAATGCAAATTTCAATTTCATTTATAAAAAATACTTGGATCCAACACGAATGTGCCAATGATTTATCTGTTTGATCTGCGAGAAATAGACGCGAATTTATTATAGAATCGTATTTTAGAATGTCACAAACCTCCCGGCGCCTGGTGTAAATTATAACTATATATTAGTAGATATAAACCTTTAGCAGGAGTGAAAGGAAGCAGCCAGCTAAATTGGAATCACATACGTACTTTTAATTTACGTTACGATTGTCATTTATAACGTTCGCTGCCACCACGAGTGCTTGTTTAATTTGTTCTTAGTAGAAACAATAAGTGGGTTTCTTATGTTTATATGTTTATTGTTCGTATTCGTATATTCATATATATATATATACCCTAGGATATAAATCCGTCATCTAGATTGTGAATTTCCAGACACTGTTTCGTTCATTGGTTAATAATGACGTAATCAGACCAAATACAAAAACTCACAACGACTGGCCATATTAGTTCTCATTCAGAGGTCGGTCATCCAGAGGTTGGGGGACATCTAGAGGTTGAGGGACATCCAGAGGTTGCGAGACACCCAGAGTTTAAGAGACACCGATAGGTTGGGGGACATTCAGAGGCATCCAGAGGTTAGAGAACATCTAGATGTTGAGGAACATCCAGAGGTATCCAGATATTGATTGGGCAACGAGTTGTTAAGAGACATCCAGAGATTAAGGGACAATCAAGGGTTGAGGGACATTCAGAGGTTGAAAGACACCCAGAGGTTACGGGACACCCACGGGTTGGGGGGACATCTAGAGGTTGAGGGGCATTTAGAGGCATCCAGATGTTGAGGAACAACACGTGGTTAGGGGACATCCAGAGGTTAAGGAACACCCACAGGTTAGGGTATTTAAAGGTTAAGAGTCATCAAGAGGTTAAGAGTCATCTAGGTGCTGGAAGACATCTAGAGACATTCGGAAGTTGAGGGACATCGGGAGGCACCTATAGGTTGGGTGGAAATCCAGATGCGCCCAGAGGTTAAGGAAAATCCAGAGACATACAGAAATTGATAGACATCCAGAGAGCGAGGGACATCGAAAGGCTGTGGGACATCAGTGGTCACACCTAAAGAAACAGCTAGATGGACATGAGTCCGTTATTCGACACTCGCTCCCGGGCGAACCCACCGACATTCGATCAGTGCTTGTAAACTGTCAACGCTCGCGCAAACGCATGAGTTTATATACAGCCATAATGAAATCCACCCGTTATCGGCCGAGCTCGGTCGACAGGTCGTATTTAAAATTGAAACACGCCGTCTCGACGTTTGTCAACACGACCACGCACGTCAGCAACCAGATTGCCTGGCTGCTAAGAGCGATCGGTGCGGCACGCTGCGGTGTGGTGTGTGCATGGTAGGTGTATGCGAGGTGGCCGACTGATGGTGCTCCGGCATCGCGCGCCACGTGCGCGTTTACGATGCGTACGCGGCTGTTCATAATTTATGGTGCCATAACTTATGAACTATATCTTTGCTGCCTCAAGATTAGGAGAACACCCGAGCGACCAATTCTTTTGGTCAAACACGATATGCATATATCAACCCCACAATCGCTTTCCTCAGCTCCCCGCCAATTAGTCATAAACAACACATGTCATCTGATCACCTTTTCACAATTAGATTCGGTCGTTTATCGGTTGTAGGTGCATTTACGGATGATATAGATCGTGGTCGGACAAGGCAATTTCGTGCGTAAATAATCAGAGAGGTTTCAATCAATTTGATGACTAGCGTGCTTGATATATACTCGTACATGTACATGTTATGATGATGAGTAAAATCAGCTTTATTGCTGCATTCATCAGTTCATACACTTCACATCGTTCACTATAAATAGAACCGGTTGATAATCGTACCATGCGCGTACATCGTGCATCGTGGATATACCTGCATCTGTCACTAGCCTTCATAAACTAGATACGTTTCTAATAAATAAATAAATAAATAAATAAATAAATAAAGACAATTTTACTTCAAGACACCTTACTCCGTATCATCGTACATTTCATTTGACTGCCATGACAAAAAATTCTTCGGCGCGAACTAAAACTGCTAAATAAATATAAAACTGCGACATAATACAAACGGATATTCACGCGAATTCAACTTTGCTCACTCGGGGGAATTTCAATTTTAAGCTTTAAAAATTCAAATTCGATTTCGTTCAAACTCCGTTTCCTACGTTTGACGCATTGCTCACGCACCGCCCAGTTCATGCGTTAGCTCGTATAGGAAACCTAACGACACTTCGCTGTGCTCCTTCCCACTCTTATTCAGCTTCTCGATCTGTCGCTCCACCTCCTGTATGGATACGTTTCTTCGTCTGCGTACGTAGTCCCTCGAGAGGTTTCCACCGGTCTGCGCCCTCCACCATGGCCGCGTCCACGACGAGCTGACGGTAACTCGCGTGTCCACCTTCTCCTGCGCCGCCAACTCACGCCGCTTGCCGCCGTTCGAGATGACGTCATCGATTTCCGGTGTCACGTGACCTTCGCGCCAGGCGTCCCGCCAGTGCGGCGGTCCTCTCTCACGTGCGTGAACCAACACGTCGCCGTCGCCCTTCCACGTTCGCACGAACCCCGCGGCGTTCGTGGCCGCCATCGCCGCGCCCCCTAGCGACCGCCTGTCGACGTCGTTTGCGGCGGCGGTGGACAGATCCTCTATGAGTTGAGAGGTGAGTTGCTGTTTGCGCGCGATGGAGGGGAAGGGTAGAGTCTGCCCATGTGCTAGCAGGCATGCGAGCATCACCGCTAACAGCCAGCGTGTCGAAGTTATACTCATTATCGTCATTTATCTGTTTTCGCTGCAAGAAAATTTGATTACAATTAACAACGCAAATATAGCAACGAAATATGAACGCAGACAGTAGCTAGTTAATGCAGATTTTCCATTTTAGAAAATTGCATTATGCGCATTAGACGCTTAACTTGTTTAAAGGCCAGAACCCTAGGAAAATATTAATGTGACACACCCATCACATACTTAGTTTGACACGATAAAATGGTAGTACGATATAATATTTGCGGATATTATGTACTGAGAAATTATTGGGGCATAGCCATGCCAGCGAGCAATTTTGTTGGTACCGATTAATTTCTGCTAGTGAAAAACTTAGTGAGGATATTGGCTTGTAACAGCCCATTATATCTTATTATTTTTAAGTGTGTGGTGGGCGTGTACAGGTATCACGTGTTTACGTTAGCTGCATAGGCCCACCGCAGATACATAATATAGCTATTTGCTGTGAATGTAAAGTACATAAAATATATTACGCGTACACGCGTGACACACGTATACGTGACGTGTGCAAGTTATGTGTACACGTGCCACGCACGTAACGTATACGCACGAACAACACATGCACGTACGCGTGGCATGTACGCGCTATGTGTATACACACAACACACGCGCGCGTTAACGTGTACGCACTTACCACACACGTACACACACATTTACGTACGTGTACACACATACAATAAACGTGCACGTGTAGTGTACACTCGTACAGCACAGGTACACATGACATGTACACATATACAACACACGTACACGTAATTCGAACACATTCAACACGCGTACACACAAACTGTGCACATACGACACGCGTACACGTGCCGCGAACACACACGCAACACACGTACACGTAACATTTCACACGCGTGCGACAAGTATTATGTCAACTTACTTTTCTTCAGCTCTCAATATCTCTCTCTGGCGTCGGTGCAGCGCGATCTATGTTCCTATGAGAGTCGCGTGTGCAGTGATGAGAGCGGCGAGCGTGCGGGTACGTATCTATGCGTCTCTTCGGATCTCTCGCTCTCTTGTGCTCGCTCACGGGCGGCTAATGCTTCGCCGATTGGCTCGTTAGGTGATTAGCAGACGATCGTCAGTCGGGACGTCAGTGCGCACTGACCGAATAGCGCGACCCGCAGCAGAATTTATTCGCAATTATCGGCACATCCTTGTCCAGGCGGATCCCCCGCACTAATCGCGAGTGATGTGGGCACGCAGCGGTAGCGGCGATGACGTCACGTGATGTCACGCAGTGGCGGCAGACGCCCGGAGCGTTGGCCGTGACTGGGAGCGTGAGCGCGTGAGAGCACGGGAGCGTGAGAGCGTGAGCGCACGGGAGCGTGAAAGCGTGGGAGCGGCGGCGGCGGCGGCGGGCCGCGACAGCACGATACACGTGATCGACGCTGCTCCGCTGTTCATTACGGCGCGCGTGCGTGCGTGCGGCCGTGTGTGTGTGTGTGTGTGTGTGTGTGTGTGTGTGTGTGTGTGTGTGTGTGTGTGTGTGTGTGTATGTGTGTGTGCCCATGTGTGGGCGAGTGGCTCTGTGCGCGTATGCGCGTGTGTGTGTGCGCATGTATGTGCGTGTATTTACTAATTCTGCTATTAGGCATTATCGGCATACGATAAAATTTATTGCTGTTACGATGTGGTCAAATCCATTTTTCTATGCTATAACTGCATAAAATCTTAGTATTTTTATTGTTGGTGTAATCAGTGATATTTCCGCTGTCAGGTGAGACTATATTCAGCTATATTTAGTTTTGCTGAGCAGAAATCTCGTAAAAGTTTAATTGTCGATCCACGCCTGTTGCAAGCATGTAGCCTCGTAATTACATACACATCATTAAATGTAACCAGTGAGGCAATGTGTCTGCATATATAACGATGGCGGGTATTTCGGTCACCGTCAATTAAACACCAATTGGGAGCGACAATCAGTCAACTACGCGCAGAGATACAGATAGCAAGACAGAGAGAGAGAAAACAACTGAGCGGGAAGAGATGGGGGTGAGAGTGAGAGTGCGAGAAAGTGATTGCGAGAGAGAGAGAGAAAGAGAGAGAGAGAGAGAGAGAGAGAGAGAGAGAGAGAGCGCGAGATTGAATAAGAGAGAAACGCGCCCACAAGGTGTTCTCCGCTCAATTACGCAACGCACACACACGCGCGCGGAATGCACATCACGCCGGCGACGCGTCGTTAACAACTCACCCCCCCCCACCTTCGCCGCCGCCGTTCCGCACTGATGACGTAATTACGGGTGTATTTCGTCTGTAAGCGCGGCCGCGATGACGTCATCACGCCGAGGCCAGCCTACCCGCGCCTCTGCCTGCCCTAGCATGCGCTATGGTGAACAACAGTAGAGGGCGTCCATAGGCGGCATACCTGAATAAGCATCGAACAGAAATTAATTAAAAATAATCACACTGTTACTTTCGCAATACACAACATAACTTTATTCATGTCAATAATCTAAAGATTTATGGCTCTATGTCGCGAATTTTGGCCGATCTATGATGCGAATTTCTGAAAAGTAGTCTGAACACATTTCAAACACAAAAATGACTAATCGTTCGCTGTGGCAACGCTACCTGACGGAATGTCACAACTACACGACAAGATCAATTTTACTTCTAATGCTTTCTAGACGTTTACGAGGCATCTAACTTGCGTGCATAATGCAAATTATTGCACTCTAGTGCCGAATTTCAGCGAAAACAAAATCCAAAAAAGGCCTTTTCTAGAGACGAAATAGTGCAACGGTGAACAATCTGCGGAGGCTTACTGTTGTGTGCCTCCTATATACGACCAACGCGCCAGCGAGCCGGCGTATCGGTTAGCAATAAATCAATTTCGGTCGTGTAATTGTTTTTGCGTTGCCTAGGTAATCAGCAAATGAAGTGGTCGCGGTTACAGTTTTCGCGACGATGCCGTGCCAGTGGCGTCACAACATGATTGGGGGCCTGTAAGCAAAAATGAAATTTGGGCCCTAAACATGAATATTTTTTGATGGACCGTGCGCCTTAGGCGCACGGCACGAGTGCCGGAGGTAGGAAGTGTGAAGGGTGAGTCTGGGGGGTCTCCACCCTAGAAAATTTTGAAATCTAGACGCTCTAAAATGCTATTTCCAGCATTCTGAGGCTATTTTGAAAGTTTGGGGGCCCCTCTAGACTGGGGCCCTATGGCTGTGACGCCCCTGTGCCGTGCGTTACTGTGAACGCGCATGGCCGCAGCGGCAGTGGCGGGCATTATATGTGCGTGTAACTTTAACCGTTGACACGTCAAGAGAACGGCATGTAATGAATATTTCATACCGTACATGTATTATATATATATATATATATGCTTCATCGTGCTAGTTAATTATATTGCCGGTTTCTCTGGAAATAGAATTTTTTATATGTTAGTGATTAATCATTGTATAAATCCGTACAGTGCTGCGTAAATTATGGAAAGAGACAGGATGAGAGAGAAGAGAGAGAGGGGGGGGGAGAGGAAGAGCGAATGAGAGAGATCGTTCTGGAAACGAGTGGCCGTTAGCTAACCGTTTACGTGTCGTAATGGAATCAGCCAGTTTCGCATTGCGCGCATGCTTGGTAACATTGTTTCATAGATTAGTTATAGCTTTCGGTTACCAAACGTACACGCCACGCTGTGGTGGAATTAATCATTTACTTTAGAAAACAATTAAACGTGTGTTTGACTTTTAAAATCTAACCATGACAGATGGACAGTGTGATATTTTAATACGCACAAACGGTAGACCGGTCGAAAGGTAGCGAAGCAAACACAGTCGAGTCTATAATTGCATTCATGACCATTCATAAAGCACTTTGTTTGGTAGCCAAAATGTTCTTAAAACGCGCCCAATAGCGAAAATTGCTTATCCGCCTATATTACTATCTGATATCCCTCCCCTTTCTTATATCCTTCGAATTTGTGCATTTGGTATTGATTATTTTATTTGTTTATTTGTTTATTTGTTTATTTGACTATTTGTTTATTTGTTATATCTTCACGTTTGCTATGTAATACGAGTATATATGCATTTATTTGATTGGTATGTTTGCTAGCATTCGTAACGTTCGCTACGTTTTGAGTCAATTCGTGTATCAATGACAATTTATTTGTGCACATCCGCACTCGGCGGATTATTCCCTACGTACACAAACACGCATAGAGATATAGACGAGGCGGTTCATTTGCTCAAATAGTGCTTAATAGAGAGCCTGTTTCAATTTGGTTCTAAAACGAATTGTGGCGATACATCAAACCGGGCAATTATGAGGCAATACAACTAAAAACACAATTATCAAATGAACGTCATTGGAAAGATATATAATTACGATAATTAGCTATGATGCAGCAGAGAGCTATAAAGTGTGAAGATTGGACATTTTCGCTTCATCATCAAGTGATTCGGTCATTATGACATTCCACGTTGCTATTTTATCGTTTTATAGTGATATTTGCATAAGGGATTGCTAGTACTCATCACTCTGGATTCATCAGTATTCATTTGGGCTGTAAACAATAGCAGATATAACCTTCATGGATAGAATATTCCGATATTTAGAATATTAAGGTCTGTAGACGACCTGACGTTTATTAACAAATGATATGCAGAAATTATCTATGTGTAAATGTGTGTACGTATACACCCACCCACGCGCGCGCGCCCGCCCGCACGCACGCCCACACACACACACACACACACACACACACACACACACACCACGACACCACACACACACACACGTTACTATATATATGACCATGTTTATATATGTTCCATATTTATAGGCCATGTCGAATGACAGTAATGACAGGTATAAAACGATAATGTTAAGAAAAAATAAAATGAATAAAATACTAAACATGTGCATTTTTTTATTTCTAATGTAAATAGTATAAATAACATCAAGTCGTGTTAACTTTCCGAAATCCCCCCACACACACACCACACACACACACACACACACACACACACACACACACACACACACACACACACAACACACACACACAACACACACACACCACACACACACACACACGACACACACACACACACACACACACACACACACACACACACCACACACACACACACACAACACACACACCACAACACACACACCACACCACACACACACACAACACACCACCACACACACACACACACACACACATAATATATATATCGTATCAGGACAATACCCCCCGGACAATCACCCCGGACAATTACCCCGGACAATTACCCCCGGACAATTACCCCCATGCCATACCCCATGCCATCACCATTACCCCCGGACAACGCCACGATACCAACTTACCCCCCGGACATTTACCCCCCGGACAATTACCCCCCGGACAGATTTACCCCCGCGACATTTACCCCCGGACATTACCCCCCGGACAATCACCCTCGGACAATTACCCCCCGGACAATTACTCCGCGACATTTACCCCCGCGACATACTGCGTGCGTGCGTGTGTGCGTGTGCAGGTACACGTGTGAGCAGGTACACGTGTGTGATGTGTGCGTGCGTGCGTGCGTGTGTACGTGTGCAGGTACACGTGTGA